TTTTCAAACTGTTGCCACCAAATGTTAAAGTCCTGCATTATATTTGAAGAAATTAAATAATGAAAAATCTGCATTAAATGTATGTATATTTCTCTCATTGTGATAAAACAACGGTACATAGAGCCATCGAATTTTGAATGGCGTAATTCGCCTACGAATATGGGCATGTGGAAGACCAAATTTGAAGTTTGGAATTTGTTTTATTATCGATTTCATATTTTGTAAAATTTTAACGAATTTTTTAGTAACGAACTCAGTGATTGAAAAGCAAGCAATGGCAACACTGTACGGGGGGAAAAAACCTTTTTATCTCCAGTGCGCGGAACTGTGTATCGGAAATTTTAAAGATGTGCTCATTTTAAAATTATTTTGCGACATTGCTATTGAACTGAAATTTATGGTTTAAGTGCAAAGAACATGATATTTAATAAATAAAGGTAACACACAAAATATTTAAAAAAACTCTCCTTTGAGCGTAATTTAAAATACGAAAAACCTTTCAGATTTTTTATAGTTTTCTTTTTTTTTATTTGTTTGTTTTAATTTAATCTTTCAAATCACTAAGTAATATTGGCTGGCATCAGACAATAGCAAACAATACTTATCCTTTGAGATATTAGTGTAGTTACTTCGCGATAGTTTGTGTCCATGTCTCGGAGCTTTTGTGATTTACAAGCGACTGTAATCGATTTATTGCTGACTTTTCCTTAGGAATTCCGATTAAATTCTGAGCTAAGTTAGATCTGCATGTATTTTAATGTGATCTAACATTCAATGCAAGAGAAAAATGTTTATCTGAATTATGAAAATTCTTCCAGCAAGAACGATGTCCTCTTCTGAGAAAAAGGATATTTACCTATTTTCTTCAATCCTAAAATTTGCGAGACAGTCCTTTTTACCATAGATCAAATGGAAATTTAAAAACAAATAATTGGTGTGACATTATGAAATATTTCCCATTTCAGATATGGAAGTAGCTTTCAAATCACTGGTAGGAAGTTTTAATAAACTTCATTGTTAACGTTAATTGACATGTCAAAGCACTTAAAATCATAAATGATTTTATTTAAAGTTATCAATAAAAAGTGTAACCGTTGATCCTGAATCAGTTTTATATTTTTAATGGTGAATTCTCTGATTTTTTTTCGAACAGTTGCCACTTCGCTTTCAAATCGCGGAGTTTGATAATACAAAATTCATTAAATTTGTATGAAATAAATGAAAAACAAATTGGTAATTAGAAATTCAGACTTCGAGATGCACTTGCCCGGGTGAAAGAATATGTTTTTTGAAAATTCGGTGGCGTTATTTTTTTACCCTACGAGGAACATACATAAGTTACATACACATTCTCCACGATTAAATTTTTTTTTAAATAATACATCTCGATAACATTTGGTGGCAACAGTTTCAAAATAGATTCGAACACAAAAGTGATAGGGGCAAAAAATAAATCTCGACACTAATAGCACCTCTGGTGCTAAAAAATGTATGGAAAAAGAAATAAAAGAATGTTGCCACCAAATGTTATTGTCGTGTATCATTTTTGAAAAAATAATACAGAAAATATAAAAAAAGTGCATGGAAACACTTAACACTCTAACAGATATTCTAAAGATGTGCTGTTTTTAAATATTTTACGATTTTCCCCTTGAATTTTGTGTGGCGTAAGTGCGAAGAAAGTGATATTTAATAAATAAAGTTAAAAGGACAAAAGTTAATAATAAAAAGCGCTAAGAAACCGCCCATCGATATGAGGAACTAAAAAAGACTGGTGGGGAGGGAGGGTAATATTTGAATAAGTTCAGATTTTAATGGTAAACCAAAAAACACTCGTTTAAATTTTAGTATAGATTATCAGTATAGATTATCAATAGAGATTCCCCAAGTGGAATAGAGAAGCATTTATAGAATACTAGATGAATATACATTTCGATTAACGCGGGAACGTTATATATCTCCTGTGTAGTTGAAAAATGAAAAAATATATATAATTGTAAGAAATATTTAATGTTTTTAATTAGATATATCATAAATTAAATAAATTTTTATTTAAATCAGTCATGCTAAAAAATAAAAAAAAAATAACATTGTCGTGTAGTGATATTTAAATCACTTAGTTTGTTAATCAATAATGAGCAGATTAATTTTGAAAGATCTTATATTTTGCCTAATGGCCACAGACTCGAATGAAAAGTGAAACAACGCTTTTAAAGTGACTCAACGCAAAATCATGTTTCGAGATTAACAACCCTTCTGCCCTAAAAGTTTCAGAGGTAAAACGATAAACCACTCAAGTTTTCTGTTTGCAAAATGAATGATAAGCAGAGCTTTATCGTTCTGAGACTGGATCATATAGATATCATACTGAGATTAACATTGAATTTTATAAAGATGGACTTATAAAGATGCTGTAGCGAATTAAAAAACGAGCAGAATCTGAAGAATTTGGTTCTAAAATAAAACACGGTAGCGAATATGTCCTGGCATAAAATTGTTGCATGTCTACAGCAGGAATCCTCCGTTTAGTTTTAAATGATATTGAAATGAATCATGCAAAATATACAAATATTTGAAAAGACATGTTGAAAATATTAGCCCAGAAATAGGATATCAGAAAACCTTTTGCATTGTGTCTGAGTAAAGAGTGTAAGTATATCTCTTTAAATGTTCACTTGTGGGTGTTTTACAACTGCTCACTTGCCCATTCTACTGGAATTAACTCAACTAAGAGCATTTGGAGTCAAATGAAGGTACAAACTAAAAAACAAAGCGTTTCATAAAAAAATCTAATGAAGAGATGAGATAAAACAAGAACTGGGGGAGGGGGTTGAAAGGTTTAAAATTTTTACGGTCGCCCAAAAGGGTTTGTTAAGGTATTTTACGTTCTTGCTGAGCTTGGAGTCTACCAGTCTGCTATTGCAATCATTCTTGTTAAACCATTTTTCTCTCTTTTAGCTTTATTATTAGGCATCGTTTTCTCTTTGGAGTTACGCCATATACAGTGCAACAGCAAAATCATAAAATTTTTAAAAGCGGCACAGGAGCATATGTTTAGAACTCCCGATGCCGTGTTAAGTTTTGGCATACATTTAAAAAAATTGTTTTCAGTCTTTTCTTAGCTTATCATGTAGTTCAATCATCTTAGTAAAATGGTTTTCAAAACATCTTTTTTTTTGTCTCTTTATTATTAACGTTTTGCGCGTTAACTTTCGTTATTAAATAACACGTTCTTCGCACTTACACCACATAAAATTCGATTCAACACTAAAATATCAAAATATTTAAAAACATCACATCTTTAGACTTTCCGATAGACAGTCCTCAAGCGGTGAAAATAAAAATATTTTATTCCGTGCAGAATTGCCACTGTTCGCTTTCAAATCGTCGAGATTGTTAATTACAAATTCACAAAAGTTTCACAAAATATGAATGACGTCATGCTATGAAAAATATTGAACACTTGTAATTTGATAGATCATGAATTAAATGCATATTTAATATTTAAATCAATCCGATTCAAAATTAAGAAACGAATATTATTAAGAACTGCATCTATTGCTTTCAAGTAGCTTAGTTTGTGTTAATCCGGAACTGACAGATTTAGTTTGAAAGATATATATCTTACATTTTCCCAATTGGCAACAGATTTGACTAAAAAGGTTAAACGACACATCTGTTGTGATTCAGTACAAAATGCCATTTCTAGATTAACAGCCAGGGCTAGCAACTTTTGGACAAAAGCTGTGCCAGAGGTAATTCGCGCAATGCCAGAATTTTTGCAATATGTAATAAAAATGAAAAAAATGGCTTACCAAGGAAAAGACTTTTTAGAATATTTGCTGTGGTTTTGGAAGTTTCTTTTCAGAGCCGCAAGAAAATATGTGGATTCTTTTTCCATACCTGAATGACTTTTTAATTGCTAAATTATTATTTGTATCAATTTCATACATAGCTTTATGAGAAACTGAATATAGTATTATTTAACAATGCGGTTAAAATAAGTTCTAATTTAACCTGCATATGGTGTTATTTCTAATGGAGGCTCGAAGGTGCCACAATACTTTCGGGAACTGGGCCCACCAGCGGCCGAGCGGTAAAATCGCTCAACGCTGGTAGTTCGGTCCGAGGTTCGAATCCCGCGAACGGGCTGGCTGCATGGGCGTTTCCGTGGTTTTCCTCATGTGTAACGTGTATACGAGCCAGTTTCCCTTAGAAAGTCCCCCACGAAGGCATCCCTCCCCTTAGGCAAATAGCCGTAGTGTGCTTTGCCGTATTCTCAATACACACACACACTTTCGGGAACCACAGCATTTACTTTACCAGAATTTTAAATTTGTTATAAAACTCAAGTTTATCATTATTATTTATTATTTTGGGGTACACTGCCATCCCTCCTGTAGCTGGAGCCGAAATATAACAGAATAATAAAATAGCGTTTTATAATTTAAAAAATTAGAAATTTTCAGAATTATAAAAATACATAGTGTTCGACCTATATTTGTGGCAATACACTTTCTTCTCCAAAACGTTTAACTGGAGATATAAACTGTACGTTTTAACTTGCAGCGTTAAAAATTAAAAAGTCAAGTAATTCATTAGATTATTAATTTCTTTTTTTGTTCTCCAAAAAAGTATCCAAAGGCGTGTAGGATAAACTTTATTCACGTATGAGCAATAGCATAATGAATTCGAAAAGCCTAAATAAATACAAATTTGTTAGCAGATGTGTTTACAAATTGAATAACATATGAAATAAGCCACTAGTCTCGCACCTGAGAATAAATTGTCTCGATTGTAATAAATATAGGACAATAAAAGTGATAATAATAAAACAAAATTAGATTAGTAGAAACAAAACAAAATTAGTAGAAAAATACAAAATTCCAGTGCCGCAGTACAAACAGCTGCAGAATGTACTTCCATCACCCACTTTCCTGCCAAAACAGCAGAATGGAACGATCCGAACCTGTGTCACGTGGTTTCTGACCGAACCCCACGTTCGGCTGTGGCGCGAAAACGTCCATAAAGCTTCAAACGGGAATCCGACTTCGGACAGTGAAGTTATTGTGTGTAAAAAACTAATACATTTATGCCTTTGTAAGTTGTCCTGCAACGCGCCTGATCTGTCCGTCATCATTTCAGTTTGACATCAGATAGCGAGCGTATCGTCTGCTTCATCATAATTTAGGATATTTCTGCGGAGTTGAAGCAGTAGATTCACGAGGTTTAAGGCGAAAGGTCACGTTTATCTTGATTTTGTTTTTTATATACGGAAAGAAAGGTAAGTTTTATAGCTTGTACTTAGACGTTTACTGTTTTCGCTATTTTAAGATAATCGTGGGCGGGCTGATTCTTTATGTGTCTGTACTTGATTGCGTTGTTATGGTTACGGCTGCAGTGTGGAACGCGCGGAATGAAAGCACCTAAAAATTTACTCTATGTAAAGCAATGAATGAAAAGATAGGACAAATATGTATTACATGACGAATTGCGAGTTTGTGAATGAAACTTAATGAAATGAAACAAATTATTGAAATATTTATAAAAATCATATTTTTAAAAAATGTTTCTTGAGACGAATACAATATAAATTGTATTCAGTTTTTAACATTCTTCCAAAATATTAGTAATATTCTAATTGCATATGTATCGCTACCATTTAAGTATTGTATAATTTACGTGTTGGATAACTCTTTTTATTAATGTTTGAAAAGAATTTTTTCTCCTTATTGCAAATAAATTTTAGGCGCTTTTTTCGGGGGGGGGGACAAAGATCTATGTTGTACATATTCATCCGTTTGCCTAGAATAGTGCCATTGAAGATAAAATGGCAGAAACAAAATCAAAGTATATGTAGAAGAATTTACAGTTTTTTTTCAGTTGTCGTTCTATCTTAAAACTTTTAAGCATTCTTTTTGGCATCAAATAATTGCTAGATTTTTTTTCTAATTTTTGTAACTGTTAAATAATAGAATAATTAGAAATGTGTATTTTGTTACGTAATTGCTATTATTTAAGTATTATTTCAATGGTCATGTTTCATATCAGCTTTGTTCTGAAGAAATTTAAAAAAGTGTACGAAGTTTGTTGTTATTAAAAGCTCATGTCTCTCTCTCCCTTATCATTGTTCTTGATTGAGTAGCAATTATTCAAATTTCCTTTTTTGTATATTCGTCTGGAAATTCCTCAAAAATGATGCTCTTCAAAGCCAAAAGTAGGAAAACTTTCTTCAGTAGTGCTGTTGCAAGATTAGCGTAATGTCTTAAAAAAAATGTTCTTAACGGACGTTACTTTTTTCATACTACTCGGTCAGTGGTCTAAAAGCGAAAATTGATTTCAATTCAGCAACTAATATAAAATAATAATAATAATAATAAATAATAAAAAGAAGAGCTTGTAGATTTCGAAATTTTAAAGCTTTGCGTTGATTTCCATCCATGTACTACTAGGAATTTGTTAATATATTTTGTTAAATAAATGTAACTAAATTCTCAATTTGAATGAATTATCTAGTATTAATAGTTTTGTTTCATAAACTGATGTATATGAGAAGAATGTATTGTAGTGAAAGGTATTTAAAAGGAATGGAAATGTTCCTCGCATTGCCAAATAAAGTTACTATTTTGCTTCTAGTTTATAACGAAAAAAAATATTTTATTTATTATTTTATTCGTCATCAAACTTCTTTTTAAATATTATTCTTATGGAATTCATGACTTTTCCAAAATCTGACTTACAAGGTAACTGCTATTACGTTTCTTTGAATAAACGTTTAGTGACGAACTACGAGCAAATAAGAAACACAGAACCGAATGTACTGATCCTCAGAAAGTTATCCCTGAAGACGAACATCTAAATCAGATTCCGCTTGAATGCATTGCCATAACCGATTAAATAAACGAACGTTATATTGTCAGGTAATGAGCATGGAGGAGATTAAGTTCGTCATTTTCAGTCCGATGAATAATGAATATGCAATAGATTCCGGTTAGTTAGCGACTAATCTTAAAAGGCAAACAAGTTTTCATGTAATGTCTGAATTCAAATGATTCAAGTCATGAATCATACCGAATCGCTTGTCTTTGCAATGCGATTTGAATATGGCAAAGCATACGACAGAGGGATGTCTTGGAGGACTTTCTGAGGTAAACTGGTAAATTGGCGCGTTATACAGGAAGAAATCCAACTATATGCATAGTTGGATTTCCACCATAGATTAGAACCCGAGTCGAACCACGAATATTAAGCAATCTTAACCAGTGAAGGTGACTGATGGAGGCTTGCGGTATGGATTCCATTTTTACCTTCTGGCAACCTACATACATAGTTAAGGGGAGGTGATGTTTTCGGTGCAAAAATTTGATAAAAATGTATTTATGGATGCCCGTTGGCGAAAATTGGCAATTTTTGCGCCCAAAATCGCCTCTACACAAAGCCAAAATAACAAGTCAAAGAATTGCACAAACTCTATCCACGTGCAGATTTCACTTAAAAAACAAATCGGAGAATTGCAAAAACTTGGCATTCCGAACTCCTTTGACATTGTCCACGTACACATCGATCTATTTTCATTTAAAAAAATCAAAGGAGTAGCCAACAAAAAATATCTCAATAAAATAATAAAATAAAAGGTACTGTTCTGTTTTGAGGGCCGTAAAAAATTGCAGCGAAAATGTATGCGCAAAAGCGGCAAATCTAGCAAACGCGACCATTTAACAGCGCGCCAAATCTAGCGTACGCGCTGATTTCAGATTGCGTAAGTGTATATAGTTCTATATTTCTTAAGACGTCATTGAAATACTAGTTTAATTTTTAAGCCCTTTTCTGATTTTAAATCCTTTTTTGATATCCTATGGATTTAACAATTTGGGAATTGCCCATGACGAAAAGTCGCCAATAGAATTTTGGGTAAAGTGCAGAATCACTCACTGCTTAACGCTTTTTTTTTTTTTTTGGGTCCACCAGCGGCAAAGTCGCTGAACACTGGTAGTTCGGTCCGAGGTTCGAATCCCGGGAACGGGCTGGCTGCATGGGTGTTTTCGTGGTTTTTCCCCATGTGTAACGTGTATACCAGCCAGTTTCCCTTAGAAAGTCCTCCACGAAGGCATCCCTCCTCTTAGGCAGATAGCCCTCTTGTGCTTTGCCATAATTAAATATACACACCTTAATGCGTTTTTAAGAATTGCACATACTCGGTATCCATGTGCACATCGACCTATTGTCACTTAATAAAAATCCTAGAATTGCACAAAAATTGCACTGCGCACCCCCTTGACTTTATCTATGTACACATCGACCTATTTTCACTTAAAAATTAAAAGAAAATTGACAAAAATCCAATTGTTTTTACCCTTTTAGAAAGCGGCAAACAAATAAGTGAGCGATTCTGCACTTTACCGAGAGTATTTTCAAAGAAAAGGCATCATCCATTATAGAAAATTACGTTTGAACAACCAACGGGATGAAATTATGCTTTAGCGATAAGTCGGTAGCGAAATAGCGATGCAGGCATCCATTCAGTTATGTTTAGCAATTTTTATATAAATCATAATAATCTGAAATAGTTATTTACTCTTATGCTTCCATTCAATCATGTTTAGTTTTTTTTCATATAAATTATTATAATGAAAAGTATTATATGAAATTAACCTTTCATCTAAATTAAAACATCAATCTTAGATAGTTATTTACTATTATACTTCCTTTCTTGCCGCAATTATTAGGATTGCCTGGCAGCATCGGCATCAACAATAGTTTGGCAATTTTTTACGGCCCTCGAAACCGAATAGTACCAAATAAGGTTACGGCCTTCGAACCCGAATAGTACCAAAGAAAATAATCTCAATAAATTACATTTAAAATCAAATAACATAAAAAAGGAAATTCTTCTTAGCACTACACAAAGGAAACATCCACTTACCTTATTTAGAAGTTTCCCTGTCTTCAATCAAAAAAATTCCTTAATAGCATCCAGAAAATTTCTTAAAATTATCTGAACTAGAATCTGTATACTGGCGTCGCCACATGAAATTACAAAGATAAGAGTAAAAAATATCCTAGTGGCAGTATCCTCCGACAATCGACCATAGGCATTTCCTTCCTACAAACCAGGACACTTATAATGGCTACTAAGTAAACCTTCATTTACGCACCAGTCAATTAATTCGCTTTTCCCCTTTCGTTCCAAATCGTACAGAAACTTCAAATTAATCTCATCACATTCAGCCATTTTACCGTCTAAACGTTAAAACAAGTAACGAACTTACTAACCAACACACACATGCCCTTGCAAATGTTTTCCCACCACTCAAATTCACCGCAATTATGTAACCAATTACGTCATAATAGGGTTTCCATAACATTCAACTACTCAGGTTACCATAAATGAAACAACAACTTCGCGATAATACAAGGGGCACCCTTAAATCTACTCTAAACGGCAAGTTTTCAGTTAATAAGCTTGAATTAAGAGTCCGCACAGCACCTTTTTATGATTTTTTACAATGTTATGTGTCTGTGTATGGCGATTTTTTTCGCCCACAATAACTGTTATATGAAGCTTCCCAAAATTTCCATTTTCTGTATTTAAGCTTTCTGCATTCATATAAAGAGTTGATGAGATTTTGGGTAAAATTGGACAACCGGAAGTGGTTTTGGTTTGGTTTATTTAATTATGGCAAAGCACACTAGGGCTATCTGCCTAAGGGGAGGGATGCTTCGTGGAGGACTTTCTAAGGGAAACTGGCTCGTATACACGTTACACATGGGGAAAACCACGAAAACGCCCATGCAGCCAGCCCGTTCGCGGGATTCGAACCTCGGACCGAACTACCAGTGTTCAGCGATTTCACCGCTCGGCCGCTGGTGGACCCCAACAACCGGAAGTGGTACTTTACTTGAAGAACAGGGGACTCACTATTTTTACCTCCCGTCAACCTTTAATATATAACTAACGGATGTAATGTTTTAATCCAAAAGTGTAATAAAGAGTTTTTAGCGAATAAGTGCAAATTAGGATCACCACAACTGCTTTTATAATAATGTCTCCTTGTTTATGTAACTGTACGTGTGTGACGATTTTTCATCCATAACAACTATTATATGAAATTTCCAAAAAATTCTATTTTCCTTATTTAAGCTTTTTGCATTCAAATATAGAGTTGATTAGATTTTGCAGAAAATTGGACATCCGTAAATGGTACTTTACCACAAGCCCATAACAGTCTTTAATGAACAACCATACGTAGTATTTTATTTGAAGAGGATGACAGTTTTTTTAGG